GTTAGCGCCACAGCAGAATGTGAGCATGATGGAGTACAGATGGAATCAGATGCAGGCATCACAACTTTTGTTATACTTGAAGGCAACAGAAAAGATCAAAGTTTCCAACACGCCCCGCAAGACGAGATGGTGGAGATGGTGGCGCAAAATGTTGCATATCTTCAAGAAGGAGACAACAGAGATGGAAGCCGAGGTTGAGAAAGCAATGCGTGAAACCGTCGCCGAGTTCAGAGAGGATGAAGTCCTGATCTCGAAGACTTTGGAAAGTTCAAGTTTGCCTGATGGCGGATGGACACCAGTGGGCATCAAAGAGTTCCTCGTTTCAGGCAGGAAGCCGGTCTTACCGGTCTCAGCCATTACAGGCAGGGGACTAGCTTCTGTTGATTCCTTTCTCTGATCGATCTGCACTTGGTTGAAACTGCTCCTGAGGTGCTACGACATAAAAAGAACAAAACCCTAAACCCTAAACCCTGAAGTCTAAACCCTGAACCCTGAAATGTGGCTTTGGGCGACCATGGGAGGCGAGAGGATTCGAGATACCAACCTTTAGTGTTCTGCGAGGCTCTGGCACTACATCAGCAGGTGCACAACATGCATCCCGGTATGCAAAGAGGCAAAGAGGTCTAGGGTTTGGGGTTTACGGTTTGGGATCAGAGCTCCACAGAACCTGCGAGGTCGTACTGGAGGTTTCCACCCTCCCTGCAGCCGAAGCTTGAATGACTCGGGCTGGCTCTAATCAGCAAGACTACTTCTGTGGGTTTAGTGACCTATACAGCAATATGCGCCAAAACCGTATTCTATTAATAGTAGTGGCCATCGATTACGTTAGGTCATCCTCCGGAGTCCTGGTCGTACGTAGGAAGTTTGCTCATGAAGGCCATACAAGACATCGAGAAGACCAGATCGCATCAAACATGATGTGGGTCCATACAGCCGTTGAGTCTTCTGGGAGAAACTCGCTGAATTGTTATGGTCGTACCTTGTGTTGCAAGGCCCCCCCAATTACCAGGCTGGTCCCTGCTACCAAGCCAAGCGGTAGTAGGAATGAAGTCTCGAACAGAGGATGCCTAAGCTAAGGATCTTAAGCCCTGGACTTCAAAGCCCCAACTAGAATTCTTTGAATTGTCAGTTCTGTCAGAAAAATTCTGCTTTCTTACGGCATCATGTGGCGCCCTGGTGTTCATTGCATCTGAACTCCCCACACACGTGGCCGGCTCACGGTCATCGTTTTGTGGTTATCTGTGCTATCATTGTCGTTGTTTCCAAGATCGCAACTTTATCCGCAGCTTCTACAGCTTATACTAAAGTCTAAACCCCACTTTACAGCCTAAAACATCTAAACCCGAAGCCCGACACAAAACTTAAACCTTAAACCCTACAAAGAGCACAAACCCTAAACTATACACCCTATATAGACCTTAACACTTTTGCCATGACCTCCCTGAATGCCAAGGATTGAGCTCTACGAGATATGGCCTTCTCTTCAAAAGGCAAGGGTGTAGGGTTTAGGATTCAGGATTTTGTGTTTCGCATTTGGGGTTTAGGGCTTAGGGAAGGCACCCCCCGGCAAGAGAGAAGCGCTGAAGGATTCCCAAGACTAGTCCCTAGGTCTCTTCATCCCAGATATGCTAGAATATACCCCAGACCCTGTTCTACTAACTAGTAGGTCAGCCTTTGGGATGTTCCGCCATTGCACCAGAAAGGCTCTTATCTACTTGAAGGGCCAACCTACACGCCTCTATTATCCCGCACTTTTGTCAACCGGATCCTAAGGCTCCGGGTCAAGAAGCCAAGGCGTAGCAGCTGAGAAGGTTACTTTTTTTACACTTGCAGCCGCTATCCCCTAGCAAACATCAATCATGGTCCAAATCAGCCGTTCCGGATATTGTTTCTGACTTGCGAGTTCCACCACGTGGCCGGACTATGCAGGCAGCATGTCTGACTTGAAAGAGGACTTACAGAAGGATGCAAGATGAGCTGAAGGCTTGTAAGGGGTGGATTTTGGTCTTAGACTAACCCCAAACCAAAACCCTAGACCCTAAACCCAAACCCTAATCTCAAACTTCGTGATTTTCGGGGTTTCGGATTTGCGGCTCAGGTGTTAATGCATGTATGCTTTGAGAGCCCGCGGGATTCGGCGTCATATTTGCAACCCGCCGGTTTCCAGCAGTCTTTTCATGGTGGGGCGGCGGGCCGGGTAGGTTTCTTTAGAGTTCTACTTTTGTCGGGGTCGTGATATGCAGGAGTTTGCTTTCCGCGGTCCACGTTGTGGTCTGCTATTTCTGCTGCAAGTCACATACCAACAACGTGATGGTCATGGTTCACCTAGCGAGCACCATGGTCTCTAATCCTTCCATAACGTAGCAGCTTCAGTCATTGGCAGCTTCAATCATTGGCAACACACTTCCGTCTCATCCTTATTTCAGCTTCACAACTGCCTGAAAGCGCATTCTCCCAAGTGCTTCGGTCCGTACCTAAACGTTGAAGCTGCTGCAGGGCATTCAGTGCTGCGCGGCGGAGCTTGATGCCCTGCACACTGCAGTGCAAGCTGCATTGCAGACTCCGTCGTAAACCCTGACCCTCCAATAGTTAAATGCCGAATAAACCCTAAACCCGAAGCCCTCCTAAACGGCCCCAAACCACTAGACCCCCTAACTCCTAACTTGAAGCCTTGAAGCCCAATCCATGTTTCCAAGTGCTTCGAGGGTTCGGTGACGTGTCTGAGACGTTGCCCAGCATGGAGACAAAAGGGTTGAGGGTTTAGGGTTTCTGGAGCCCCGGCATGTTTCAGAAGGTGGGGGTGTTTGGGTTCATGTGGGGGGGCTTAGGGTCAAGCGACGGGTTTGAGGAATTGGGGCTTGAGGTTTAGGGCTTGTTGAAGAAGTATTGAGGCAAGGTTTCAGTTAATAGAAATTTGTCAAGCAGATTGCCAACGTATACTGACTATGTGGACATGGGAAGCCGGTTGTTGCTTTTCAGAGAAGACTTCGCGTGGATTTGGGAGCCACAAAACCGCGCACTTGTCGAACTTGTGCTTCTACTACTCCGAAGCAGCTTGCTTCTGACCATGGTCCCCATCACATGTGACATATCGAAAAGTCAGCGGTAGCAAGCGAACAGCTGAAATCTTGCAAACGAAGGCGCCTCCAGCCGCAATCCAAGCTTCATCCCCGCACGAAGCACTGTAATTCGAGCTGGCAGCCTGTCAAAGGCTTTAACCCCAAACCCTAAGTGCTTAAACTCCGAACCCTAAACCCTTAAGCTCCCAAACTCGGAACCCTAACCTAGCCTTCCTAGCAGCCCCGGAGTCGATGGCCCCTTGCCTCGGGTGATATAGCAGTGGCTTTGGTGCTGCCAGACGCAGACACTCCCATGGTGAGGCTGAAGGCGGCAAGATGTGATGTAGGGCTTTTGGGTTTAAGGTGAGGGGGTTTAGGGGTTTGGGGAGGAGTTTTCTATAAATTTGGGTATTTAGGGTTTGGGGAGGAGTTTTCTAGAAATTCTATAAGGGCTTTAGGAGTTCGGGGAATCGGGTCAAAAGCGAAGTGGTAAAAGGGACCCGGGCTCCTGTGGGGGCCCCTGCTTCATAATGAGAGTCTTGATATCGTTGTGCTCAAGACCTAGGGATAGCAGGGGAGATAGGAAGACAAGCTGAATCGAGCTCTGCTTGCTGGGCTTCTCAGAACCTTAGAGCCCTAAACTCTAAAGCCCTAAGCCTCAAGCCGCTCAAGCCCTGCACAGAGCCGCAAGGATTTTCCCCACTCCACATACACTCGGTAGTAACAAAGCGAAGCCCTTCAGCCCAAAAAAACCCTGTAGATCCTGAGGCCTTGACCTCGTAAAGCTTCAGGCCTTAAAGCCTAAGGCAAAAGCGGTTGGGCAGGTGTTAAGCATCCCTTTTGTCTCCCCCCGTTTCCACCACCAGGCGGCCGGCAGATCGAGGAGGCATGGAGGGGGGCATGAGAGCTTTTGTTGCTTATACGTGTTTCTTTTTGGGAAGAATTGTTCTTCTGTTGTGCGCTTTTTGTTCAGAGATTTTTTTGGTGGCTTTAGGGCAGGAGCCTTCATGTTTTGAGGTTTAGTTTGGCTTCACCTCAGGTCTACGGTTTTTAGGGCTTAGGGTTTAGTGTTTAGGATGGGGAGGCCGACGCTGATCAATGGACGGCCTTTCTTTCAGGGCCTTGACCGTGGAATCTCTGATACGTTTTATCAACTGGGGTCTTCACGTTTGTCAGAGTCCACAGCTGGCTCTTGGTGTTGGAGCTTCGTGGCTCTTGGGCTTCCACTTTCTCTCTCGGGGAGGCAGAAAATCTGTAGAACTTTAGCCCCAGACCATACTCCCCAATCCGCAGTGCTGGATTTCCAGCGCTGTCTGGTGGCCTGACAAAGAAGGCTTGAGGCAATGAGGCCATGGGCCGAAGGCCCAGGATATCAGAGTACCGGCTGCAGGGGGATTCTGGGGGGGGCGGCTGTCGGATTCGTGCTTGCTGGGATGATTTCTCGACCCACACTCCCGGGAGGGCTGGCTCAGCCTCTTCCCCAGAAGCCTCGACCTTCACCGCAGAGATCTCCCTTCTTGGGGCCCCCTTCGCTGCCAGGATCAGGGCTTTGGATCCATCTTGGAGCCCGAGGTAGCGATGCCACCTTTTACATGTCCGCCAATACTTGCCTAGCTGGTTCCAACTTAAACACTTGTAGTTGATGACAGTCATAACTTATATCATACCAGGCATTGGTGTCTCAGCCCGCCTTGGCAGATTGCACCTGCCATTCTCATTTGCGTTCTCCAGTCCTTCATGTGGCTCAAGCCGGTAGGTTGAACCCTTTGATTCCGTGCCCTAGCCTGCATGCCGCTGAGCGGTTACAGCCTAATGCTCAGACTTCGTAACTTTGGTGACGTGAGTCATCGAGGGTCTGTCGCATCACACAGAACTGCGTTTCACGGATCTGCATTCAAATCTGGTTCTGGTGCTCAAGCTTTGACATTCGAATGTCAGAAAATGACGCTGCTTTCGATGCTTGACACCGACGCCAGTGAGCGAAAGACAGTCCGTTGCCAGGCCCAGCCTGAACTGATACGAACGAAATCCGGAGCTCTAAAGACGAAGCACTCCGAAACGGTGTGCACAGCCGTGGCCGCAGCCACCCACCAAGCTAGACCCAAGACGACCCAAGCAACCGAGGCTGCTTTCAATGCCTTTCTCGTCCCAGAGCGGAAGTGCCGATCGCTGAGGCTGGGGCGATTTTCTTTTTTGGGGGTTCAGGGTTCGATTGGGGTTTGGTTTGGGGGTTTAGGGTTTAAGGGTTTAGGGTTTAGGGGTTTAGGGTTTAGGTTTAGGGTTCGATTTTCGATCACAGCAGTTCTCTTCATTTCTTCTTATTTCCTGGTTTGGGAAAGGGCTCGTAACGGCTCGTACTTGCGTTCTGCAGGGGCACTCGACCTGGTCTCACTGCAAAGTGGGGCGAGAGTCTCACTCTGTATGTGCTGGCAGGAGTCATGGATGAATCCCACAATCTTGAAAGTGCGAGAGAGCCGCAGTGCAAGAGATTCGAAGCTGGGAGACATTTGGGTGGACAGTTTGATGATGATGTCAGCATCCTCTTCGTAGGCCAACAGCCCCGGCATTCGGAGCGCAAAGCAAGATCACGTGGTGTGTGACCAACTCTTCGAGCGACTTCTCAGGGGACATAGCCTACGGCCTCTCTCCTACATACCTACTATCACCCTCCCTAGCCGAAGATCCCTTGTAGATCCCCCAAAACCCCGAAGCCCCGGACCTAAAGCCCTAAACCCTAAACCCTAAACCCCTAAAGCTCTAAAGCCCTGAAGCCCCAAAGCCCTGAACCCTAAACACCGGGCCTAAAACCCCTAAAGCCCTAAGCCCCCAGACTTCCAAACCCCAAACTCTCAACCCGTGGCTGGAGGACCAGCCGAAGCCGCCGGTGGACGCTGTGTCGTACAACGGTTTGAACGTAGCGACTCGGCCTCCGTGTTTAGGGTTTTTGGGTTTAGGGTTTTGGGTTCCGGGTTTTGGGCGATAAGGGGAATGGGGGCCTTGAGCTCCTATACAAACCATACAGAACGGTCCGTCGGTTCAGCAGCTTCACTGCAGTTTTGGCTTCGGGGCAGAGTTCACGCACTGCCAGGGTCGTTTCAGACTTGGGGCGGGGTACCGCTGTCGAGTTTCCCCGAAACGAAATTCCCATCCGCGTGTCGTGTCTTCCCATGCTTGTCGTGCGGGATTCGGAGAGCAGCTAAACACAATAGCTCGCTTGTGAGTGGGATGGCCTTGCGCGGGTGGGCAGTGCAGAAACCGGGGCAGCTAGAGTCTACTAGAGCAATGGAGGGATTTTTTGCAGCGCGCTCGATCGTAATTGCCCAAATCAGATGTCAAACTTGAGTGTAGGTGAGCTCGTCCCACTGGAGAGGCGTACCATGGTGCAGGAAGCAGAAGTGTAGGCCTAGCCCATGACAGCTTAAATCCCGGCTTGCAGGTTCCGGAGTCGCCTTCGTCCACATCTGCCAGCGGCCCAGCCAGGAGGGATGCGATGCGATGCAATCTGGTCGTGCTTACATGCAGGATTCTTTTCGATCAATGCCTCAGGCCCAGTACGGCTTGACGGATCCCAAGAGCTTGGCCGAGTACCTCAACCACGCCAACATCCGCTTGGTCCGGGCCGAGTGCTCGCCAGAAAATGTCAGCTGTCATGTCCCGTGTCAAATCGTGTCACCAAGTCAGACTTTGCTTTAGCCGCTCTTTCGCCACTTGGTGTCGGATTGGCGGTTCCAGGTACTTGTACAAGCTGCTGAAGTCGAAGCACCTCTTGCCTAGACGCCAAGAAGCCGACCCAGCCTCAGACGATGCACTTGTTTGCAAATCTTTTCCTGCACTGCACGTGCGGCGCATTCGGAAGCCGTGCGCAGGAGGAGTGGGGCCTGGTGACGCATGAGGAAGTGAAGGCGTGGGCCGCCGGAACTCGGCGTCGGGGTGCGATGATCTGCTCGGTGTCCCACGCTTGGGAGAGTCGGGAGCATCCGGACCCATGCGCCCACCAATTGAAGTGCCTGGTCGACGTCGTGGCTCTCTTCGATGCAGCCTACTTCTCGGATATTTGGCTATTTTACGATTATGTATCTCTGTTTCAGTTCAAGCGGGAGTCGGACGCAGAAGAAGAGAGCTTTCGACGGTCAATGCAGGACATGCACGTCTTGTACGCCCATGAGTGCACCCGAACTTTCCGCATAGAAAACCTCACCCCAGACGATGTCTGGGAAGCGGCGAGCAAGAATTCTGAGTATCGAGTGCGAGTGTACGATGCAAGGAGCGCTGTGGTCCGAGATCGTCCGCTCAAAGAGCTCGTCGCGAACCGGGTTCCATACGGAACGCGCGGGTGGTGCAAGGCGGAGGTGGAGTGGTCCTCGACCCGGAGCAGATCCGAGCGGAACCACCGGATCGATGCTCCCGAAAGTAGACAACATTTTAGAGGCTGGCAAGAAGACAGTGAGCCAGAGCCAGAGTTGCTGGAAAACCAAGAGCCAGAGCGGCTGGGCAAAGTGCCCATGGCTCCGGAGATTTTCGAACAAGAGATGGACTCGGCAGCCTTCACCCATCGGTCGGATGCCGAACAGGTGAAGAAGCTGCAGTTTAAGGTTTTCCTCCAGAAAGTGTCCGAGTGCGAAGAGGCGCTCTTCGAACGCCTGCCCGAAGGGCAGCTGGGGCAGCTGGCAAAGGCCCTGCCTTACTTCAAGAAGCTGAGGGTGCTGAGGCTCCGGGACTTTAAGGCAGGCCGAGCAGAGGCTGGGGAGTTCGCGAAGGCCGGGCTTCGCAGGTCTAAGACAGTTTGAGCCTGCGTTCGCATGCCAGGTGCTGACATCGAACCAAACGATTCGCGAGCTCGAGATACATGGCCCGAGGTTTGGCTTTGAGCATGAATTTGGTTTTCGACGAGAGGCACGGTGGAGTCAACAGCTTTGACTTGAAGTGAAGGCGGAAAGGCTTTTGGGCTTCAGACAGGTTGGTGCTGCTGGATCAGGGTTGCTTTCCCGCGTGAGGCGATCGCCGCAGCTTTGAAGACCAACTCCACCCTCATCAGCATCAGCCTCGAAAGCAACCGCATCGGTGTGGAGGGTTGCAAGGCCTGCGTGGCTTGAGACAGATCGGCGCTGCTGGAGCAGGGTTTCTTTCCCGCGGGAGGCGATCTGCGAAGCGTTGAAGACGAACTCGACGCTCACCAGCATCAAACTCGCACACAACAACATCGGCGATGAGGGTGCGCAGGCGCGGTGGGTTTCAGCGAGGTCAGTGCCGCTGGAGCAGGGTTTCTTTCCCGAGTGAGGCGATTAGTGAAGTACTGAAGACGAACTCCACCCTCGCCAGCATCAAACTCGCACACAACAACATCGGCGATGAGGGTGCGGAGGCACGGTGGGTTTCAGGCAGGTCAGATTTGCTCGAGCAGGGTTTCTTTCCCGAGTGAGGCGATTAGCGAAGCTGTGAAGACCAACTGCACACTCACCAGCGTCGACCTCGAAAGCAACCGCATCGGCGGCGTGAAGGGTGACAAGGCTCGGTAGGGCTTCAGAGAGGTGCTGCAGAGGGTTTGCTTTCCCGCGTGAGGCGATCTGCGAAGCGTTGAAGTGCAACTCCACGCTCACCAGCATCAACCTCAAAGGCAACCGCATCGGCAAGGGGGCTGTCAAGGCCCGCTGGGCTTCAGAGAGGTCAGTGCTGTGGGAAGGCTCGCCGGTCTTCAGAAAGGTGCTGCAGCAGGGTTGCTTTCCCGCGGGAGGCGATCTGCGAAGTGCTGAAGACCAACTCAGCCCTCACCAGCATCAACCTCGCAGCCTGCTACATTCGCGATGAGGGTGCGGAGGCACGGTGGGTTTCAGGCAGGTCAGATTTGCTCGAGCAGGGTTTCTTTCCCGAGAGAGGCGATCTGCGAAGCGCTGAAGAGCAACTCCACGCTCATCAGCATCAACCTCGAACACAACGACATCAGCCAGCAGGCCGTGATGTGGCCCAGTCGTTCAAACTTGAGCTTGTTCGTCTCCTCGCCAGGTGCTTGCGGAGGTGCGGAGGAGGCGCCCACTCGTGGATGTTTGGTCGGCCGAGGCTCTCGGGTGCATGCCTTCGCATGATACCTGCGCGTGCTGTGGGATGCCTTCACCCTCCAGAAGATTTCACCCAGACCAGGCTGTCTCTGTGGTTGCCCCCGGGTGCATGGCTTGAACCCACATCTGGCAAGCTGGACCCATGAGAACTTGTAGAGGGAGAGCCGGGCCAGATTGCAAGTTCTCAGCATTGTTGGCAGGCTGCAAGTACGGCCACGGTGCAGCTCTGAGTGATCTGCATTGCAACTGCGCCCATGCCCGCCTGCTTGGGCTCTGCAGATAAGGCTCCAGAAGCTGCGAAGGCTTGGACGGGGCGAGTGCGCATAGAGGACCGGTTCCGAGCCCGCCATCAGACACCGGGGAGCCGCGTGCCAATCACTCTGCAGGCCCTCGCAAAGCAATTGAACGTACACTGCAACCCCACCAAGTTGAGCTTCGAGCGGTGTGCTCTCGACGTCGAAAGGGTGGAGGCCCGGTGGGCTTCAAAGAGGTTAGTGCTGGCGCAGGGTCGCTTTCCCGTGCGAGGCGATCTGCGAAGCGTTGAAGACCAACTCCAAGCTCACCAGCATCAACCTCACATGGTGCTTCATCGGCGATGAGGGTGCGCAGGCGCTGTGGGCTTCAGGCGGTTCAGATTTGCTGGAGCAGGGTTGCTTTCCTGAGCGAGGCGATCTGCGAAGCATTGAAGACCAACTCGACGCTCACCAGCATCAACCTCAAAAGCAACCGCATCGGCGCTGAGGGTGGGAAGGCCCGGTGGTGCCAGGTGCACAAGCAGAGGGGCCTGGTGGCTCCAAAGGTCCGCCAGCAGTAGCCACTGCTGTTTTGCCGTTTCCCTGCGAGGCGCTTGCCGAGGCTCTAATGCGACACAACCGTTTGGAAATTGAGCTCTACGGAAACAAGATCCCCGCCGAGTGCGGGGAGGCCTGGGCGGTTCGCAGAGCTCGTGAACGATTTCCGAAGCCTTGTCCTCCACAGGCCCTCTCGGAAGCCACCGGGGGAAGGCCCGGCGGGGTCCCGGAGAGAGAGGGACTTCTGAGGGTGCGCTGGCACGGCGACTCCCGTCATGCACCACCTGCCGTACTGAGGTTGAGCTTTATTCGATCTCCGTGAGGTGCTCGAGGCCAGTGGGGCAATCCCGCTTCCACATCATTCTCAACCCTAAACGGACCCTCAACCCCTTAACCCTTAAACCCTAAACCCCAAACCCTAAAAGCCCTAAATCCTAAATTTTCAACCCTACAAACCCCATAAAAATTGAACGGTAAACCCCAAACCCTCAAAGCCCTAAATCGCACCCTCCGGCCCAAGAAAATCTCAGCATCAAACGCGGTCGCGGCCGAGCCCGCGCAGTGTTGCGGAGAAGATTTGCAGGGGGGCCA